CAAAGGTGACAGTAGGATTGGGGCGGGGGCTTGTTTGGACAAAGTTACCCCAAAATGTGCCTTAGCCTTCTCTGTAGCCCTTGCAGCCAATGAACAATGATTACTATTACTATGTAAGGCTGATTCGTTTCCTGAATATTATGGTATGTTTGCCCCCCCCCTAATTTTGACCTAAATATACATGTAACAGATGCGCTAGTACTAAAACAGTTACAAGAACAGATACACTAGTACAAAAAAAAGTTACAAGACGGGAAAATTTTCAAATTTAACTCGTCATTGATAGCATAGTTATTCTAAAAGGTCACCGTTTTTGCTGAAACAAACTAGAGGCACTCAGTAGAGTGCATACCTCCACCACACAGAGTTGATCATATTCAACCAACAAAAAATATGAAAATGTGTCAGTCGTTATCAACGAACATGGACCATTTTTGGCAGAACAATGAGATATAATATTTTACGTGTCTACCAAGTTTCATCAAACTCTAATCATTTTTAACTGAGTTATAGAACAAAAAATCAGTCCCTATGTTGTGTACCACAACTCCCATCTCCCTTATCTTAGGCCAATTTTAAATGAGCTTTGAGACCAACTTAAAATTTATGATGAAATACAGTGCAATTGCAATCCTCAATCAGAGTGGATGCACACATAACGGAACAATGTGGTAACACACAAGACAAACACAGGACTCACAGTAGTGATAATAAAAGTCCTCACCTAGTGCCTAAATACTAACTAAACATTAAATATCAACACCACATTACATTTGGATGTTGCAACTCTAGTGAAGATACTGTAACCGCAGGTTCCTTATTTCTGGCAAATAATGATAGTTACAGCCTTATACTTTGTTACTATGGGCACAGCATCAGCGAAATAATAACTCTAATGCCCAAATGATATCAAATGGACTCCTTATAAAGCTCCTCCATAAATGACACAAATGTCTTCACAGTGAGTGCTACAAAGCTTTATGCTAGAGTATGCTTTATAACATATCATTGTTGTTCATTGATGTAAGCAGTTAAGTTCTCATGGGTACAATGTTTGTGAAGCTTGTATTCTATGGGCCAAATGCTGATGCAATTACAAGGCAATGGATTTTCAGTTGCACAACTAAGTTACAGGTACTCTAGAGCATCTGATAATGGAACATCTGAACTAAGTAGCTTGTATTCTATGGGCCAAATGCTGATGCAATTACAAGGCAATGGATTTTCAGTTGCACAACTAAGTTACAGGTACTCTAGAGCATCTGATAATGGAACATCTGAACTAAGTAGCTCAGATGCTGCATTATTCATTCCTGGGCCTAGGTGATTATCTTGAAAAACTACTTAAGGTTGAGCCATTGTTATAATAGGCATTGACTCCACTCTAGCAGCTGGAGTTTGAACATTTTGCCAAATACTGAATTCATGCTCCTGCTAACAACAGTGTCACTGCCTAAGGTTGCTTGAAAATAGCTGCTCCAGGGCATATAATACAAGAGCAACCATGTTGGTAAGGTCAGATTGGTAAACAATGTCTGTTAAGGTGTTGTAGAGCACTCAGCATTCATCAGAGGACTCCTCTGAGCCAACTGGAGATCTTTTGATTTCAGCTTTTAATCAATTTGGCTCTCTTCATTCTCTCTGCTACAGTTATTTCTAGAAAGCAGTTCTACAGTTCTTTCTTTAATGGCTAATATTTCATTAGAAACACAAGAGAGAAAAATTGATTAGAAGTGTGAAACACAAATCATCGACTATCACTTCTGCAATAACCAGATCAACAGTGTAACTAATCAAATCACCACATTACTAACACGGTATGATAAATTACAAATTTAATAACACAATATAAATTTTACAAAGTATTAACCAATAATTAAGTAGTGCTTAGCCAGGACTTTGTAACTAAATATCACAATCTCCAATTTGTTACTTTCAATTCACACCAAAATAATAAGAATAGCAATAATAACAAATTTTAGAAAAAAAGGAACCAGAAGAAGAGAAAAAAAAACTAATTCATTACATTACACAAAAGAACAATATTAGACACTTTTCACAAATAATGATCATGCAAGTATTTTAAAATTTCTATCAATTAAACATCTCTTATGTAATAATCTAAAATAAAGTTTAGATCCACTATTATGGAACAAGAAGTTTGTGGATAAAACTTTTGAAACTTAAATTTCACAAGTCCTCTATAGTCCTACTTTTGTTTGTGGAAAAAATACACACAACAATATTACAAGTTCCTTTAGGGAAAATGATGTTCAGCTTAAAGTGACCATCAGAGATGTTAAAGTTTGGTAACCTATAAATCTGTGTGCTTTACACAATTCTTCTTCAGACAATTTCTAATTTTATGTATCAGATGACTGATACGCAGTTGATTTGATGAACAAAACTTTTCATGTGTAGAAAAAAGCATTATTTGTTGGACCATTTTTAACATTCTTTTTATGTTCTGTGAGTCTGGTATCTAAATCTTTACCTATTTCACCAACATAAGCTTTTATTGCAGGATTTGCAGGGTACTTATATAAGCACCCTCATCTTGGGTTGGAGATTTGTTTGAGGTTAAAATTTTTCAGACATTTCTCTAAAGGTACAATACCAGAACTATAGTTGACACTAAAGTATTTTATTTTCATTGTCACATTTATATGACAATGGTCACTGGGTACTATTTGTAAAAAATGTCTTCCTTGCCTTTCGTTAAGGGTATAAGATACTGTAACCTATTTTATTCATATCTAACAGCTCTAACATACAAATAATTATTTGATTCTGATGTGACCTTTTGCTTATTATCAAAACTAAAACCAGAAATGATAAGTTAATAGTTTATTTGATATAACATGTACTGATATGTAGAACGTTACTGAATATAACTAAAGAGGCACATGGAGCAGAAAGACTTCCACATACTGGTGCCTGTTTTCTGATTGGTCAGTTAGAGTGAGAAAGAGAGAAAATGTTTCACATCAGGTTCACCGTAACTGCTGAGGAAGAGAGTTCATTTTTTGACATGGATGTCTTATGAAGTTTTATTGTGTGTCTTACCTGTTATTTCTGTTGATTATACAATCATTTTGACTGGATGCTTTAACTATTTTCACTTATCTACATTCTCATTTGTAATAGTGTTATCACCAGATAATTGGCTGTCACTTTTAGTTCATCTTCAATAAATAATTTTATTTTTATTTTTACTAACACCATATCTTGTCTCTTTCATTTCACCTGCAACAACTCACTACACCTGTTTTTCTGCACATATATCTACAAGCCTCTTAGTTTTGTAGAGATCAGAAGACTGTGAGCTATGTTTATCCTTGAAACAACACAACAGTACAATGATCTTTAAAGTAAGAGGATTTCATGTGATCCTTGTATGGTTATATGCATTAGCAAAACGATTGGGGTGAAGGGTAAATTTTTACACAGCTTCAGGGTGTTTAACAGCACCTGCACTAATAAATCTGGGGGTGTTCAAGCACCCACAGATCTGGCACTTATGTTTATATGTTAGCTAAGTATATATAACAATATGATGAAAATCTAAAGTGATTGCATAAGTTGTTTCTGACTTTGTCACAGTAATAGTTGGAGGGATTACAAAAAAAGTGACTGAACTTCAAGATTAGCAAATTTCAAGACTGTTTAAGAATACCTAACAGTTAACATATTGCTATATGATAAATGAATTGTAGTAAATTTACCACTTATTTAATAGATATTTATATCTTTTAAAACTGAAATCTATGGGAAAGTAATGATGAATGAAAATCTGTAGTTATCACATAGAAAAAGTTCAAATTTATCATGATACCAAGATCATAATGTACTACTAAAATAAAAGATAATCAAATCATCATTTCATTACTGTACTCTTCAAACTTATAGCTGGTTCACACAGTAATTGACAGATGTGTGAATAACACAGAGACAAGCAAATCACATAAATATCCTACCTTCAGTCTGGTTCCAACATTGAACCGACAGCTGTGCTTTCCATTACTTAAACATAAGCTAATTTTGTCTTGAGCCATGATACGAACCGAGACTAGCTGATTTAGTGCTAGAACAATAGGATGAATAGGTACAATAATGGATTTTGACCTATTAGGCTGGTCAGATGTTGAATAAGTAGTGGTACATGTAGAAACTGCATTCCTCCACGTCCAGTTACGGCATTGAGATCCCTTGTCATCAAACAAAATACCACCTACCACATCAAGATAACATCTGTTGAATAAAGAAAACAAACTTGAGCACTGTTATATAAACACAAAAACCTGAGCTATGTTTAGATCACACAAAAGGAAAAGGTTAACTATTAATGAAACACAAAAACCTGAGCTATGTTTAGAACACACAAAAGGAAAAGGTTAACTATTAACGAAACACAAAAACCAGAGCTATGTTTCGATCACACAAAAAGAAAAGGTTAACTATTAACGAAACACAAAAACTGGAGCTATGTTTAGATCACACAAAAAGAAAAGGTTAACCATTAATGAAACACTAAATCCTGAGCATGTTTAGATCACACAAAAAGTGAATATTAAGATAAAGGAAATGAACTCTGTTAATGACACACAAAAAAGATAACTGTTAGCCCAAACATAAAAAAGTGAGCACTTTTAAATACTAAAAAATGCTATACAAACACAAAATGCATAATTATTCTATTCAAATAATGAAACAGTGAAATTTGTTGACAAACACAAAATAAAATTATTTTGAATTGGTGGAACAAGTAAATCTGTAGGAAAAATAATTTTTGTTACCAAATCTAATAATATAAATGCACAACAAGAAATTAAATATGTATGTAAAAGAGATATCCTGTATACTTCAAAGTTAAAAACTTATAAACATCTCAAAATCAATGTAATATACTAACAACAGAGTTCTAAGAAAAGTAATAGATAACATTGTCAATTAAGAACTACATGGCCATGAAAAAAGTAATGCATTTTCTTTTGATACCTCATCAGACCAGAAGACTGATAGCATACACAGTTACCATTGGAATCAAACAAAGCAAGTAAACAAGGATTTGATGATTTGTCTTCATATACATAAAATGCCCTCCAATGCTCTTCTTCAATACCACTGATTAATATGGCTAGGTTTCCTGATGGGTAGCTTATGAACAGTTAGGGGTGAGACACAAAAACAGAAAAATAGTGGTGAATAGAATAATTACTCGTTTTTGTGGGTAAAAAGTACAACACTAAATAGTATAATACATATCACCTGAGTTGTAATGAATAAATACACACTGTTTACATTACAAATAAATTAACTGTAATGTGTCAGGTGACTGTGTAGTGAGGGACAAGATAAGATGAAAGGTTTATAAAACATTCTAGTTGAGAGACTCCTTCAACAGTGGTCAGGATTCAAAATTACAAAAGCTGTCATATGTGCAAAATGTGGGGAACAAATGACTGGCATAGTTTGTTAATTTGTGTTTTATTTTTTATGTGCTGATGATACAGTAAAAATATAAAAGCAACCACATGAGACACTTGATTCTTCTTAAGGAGCTCATTCCAGACCATATTGTTACTATCCATTGCACTGGTAATGTCTGAAGTTGGTTCAATTAGCACGATAGTGGTTTCAAACATCTTTCTTGACCAGCATTTTTTTTCCATATTGCAATCCTATTTAGCATATTTGGAATGAAAATGTTAACATTTCTTTTACCAACAGAGTTCTATGTTAACAACCGTGATTCAGTTATGGGCCTTACTTCTCAAGAAATGGGATACAACTGAAAAAAAGAAGACATATTCCTCTATATTGTGGGGTCTATGTCATATCTAGTATAGACTACTAACGTGGCACATAATTGTTCCAACCTGATATTAGTTATGAGTCGTAATAAAGTATCCACACAATGTATAATGTTGCATACATGGTAAATTTTTAAAAATCAAAGAAACTAAATTTTAACTGTATCACACTAATATGTTTAACTGATTATTATTTAAATTTCCATTTTATATTAATATCACAAATCACATGTGACTCATATACATTATAGCTATAAATTTAAAAAAGTTAAGATAATACAGCAAGTGTATTTGTTAACAAATGATTCTTGAAGAACTGTTAAATTCTTAACTATAAATATATATATATATATATATTGTTATAAATAATCTATAAAACATGAAAATGTAACAGCATTAATAATACTAAAAATAAATATAAATATATAAATCATTTGATTGTCACTGACTTATACTAGTTTTGAGAGTGCCTCTCCTCGTCAGCAACCCTGGACATGGGCAAACAAAAAATAAAAATATTGTTACG